GGGGAGATGGCTCAGTGGAATAAGCGCTTCCCTGGCAAGCACAGGGCCTGAGTTCACAGTTTATATCTAAACATTTCCCCAAAGCCTCATATGCTTATAGGTGAGATTTTGGGGACATGCTTGGATTATGGGGCTTATAATAGTTTACTTGCTGTTAGGAGGTGGGACCTGGTGAGAAGAGGTGGGTCACTGGGGGTGTGGCCAGGAAGCTGGGCTCTGGGCTTCCTTGCTTTCTGCTTCTGGTCTACCATTCCATGAGCCTCCTTCCCAAGTGTCTGGTGTATTGTCTTGCCTTGGAGCCAGCCAATCAGTGACTAAAACCTAAGTAAACTATGAGCAAAAACAAACCTCTTTTAGTTGTGGGTGTCAATTGTTGCATCCTAGCTGCAAGAAAAGTAACAGAAACAAGGTGTATGGTGGGATGTTCCTCTGTATGAAGGCCCTAAGTTCAATCCCCAGTACATACATACATACATACATACATACATACACAAGCAAGCTTGGTGGCTGGACATAGTGGCACACACCTATGATTCCAGCACCTGGGAGGATGAAGCAGGAGGATTATGGTGAGTTTGAGGCCAGCCTAGGCTACATGGTGAGTTCAAGGCCAGCCTGAACTACATAGCAAGATCCTGTCTCAAAAAATAAAAAAACAGGGGCCGGGGAGATGGCTCAGTGGAATAAGTGCTTCCCTAGCAAGCACAAGGGTCTGAGTTCAATCCCCAGTTCCGCCAAAAAAATAAATAAATAAAAAATAAAATAAAATAAACAAAAACAAAACAAGCATATAAATAAATAAATAAGAGTTTGGGATGTAATTCAGTGTTAATGTTGCCTGGGTTCAATCTTCAATAATGCAAATAACAATAGCTGCTGGTATTTGGCTTATTTGCAATATTGTGAACTGAAGGACTTCACAAGCTATGTCCTCAGCTTTTTTTTTTTTTTTTTTTCCCCTGGAACCGGGAATTGAACTCAGGCCAGGCAAGCACTTATTCTACTGAGCTATCTCCCTGGCTCCACCCAGCATTTTTTAAAGTCTTACTAAATTGACCAGGGTAGGTTTAAACTTGGATCCTTCAACCTCAGCCTCCAGAGTACTAGAATTATAGGGATCTACTGTCACCCATCTGGATATTTTTTATTTATTTTTTGCAGTATCAGGGACCTTGCACTTGCCAGCCAGACAATTAAGCCATTGAGGTATCTTTCCTGGCCCTACATCTGGCTATATTTTAGCATAAGTATTTTGTGAATTTCTGTCTCTGAAGAAAACACAAACCATGGACTGTGTTTATGTTTTGTTTTGTTTTGTTTTGTTTTGTTTTCAGAACCGGGGATTGAACTCAGGTCCTTGTGCTTGCCAGGAAAGCACTTAATTCCACTGAGCCATCTCCCCAGCCCCCATAAACCAGTTTAAATGAGCTAAGAACCTGCGAGCTTTTCTGTTCCCTATCCTTCTATGATGATCCCCAATAATTTTGTTTGTTTATTTATTTATTTATTTATTTTGCAGAAATGGGAATTGAACTCAGGCGCTTGTGCTTGCCAGGTAAGCACTTATTCTATTGAGTCATCTCCCTGGCCCCAATAACTTTATTCTCTCAGCCAGGCATAGTGGCACACACCTGTAATCCCTGCATTTGGGAGGCTGAGGCAGGAAGACTGCAGTTAGTTTGAGACCAGCCTGAGTTACATAGTGAGTTCAAGGCCAGCCTGCACTACAGTACAAGACTGTGGGCTGGGGAGATGGCTCAGTAGAAAAAGTGCTTACCTGGCAAGTGCAAGGGCCTGAGTTCAATCCCCAGTTCTGCCAGAAAAAAAATAAAAATATATATATATATATATTTTTTTTTTTTCACCCAATTTATTCTTGGAGACACTACAGTCTGGGCATCCTGGCTTTAATGACATACTGGGTTTCTGAGGGGAGTGAACAGCAAGGAAGAAAACATATACTTTTAAAGTCCAACAGTAAGCTTTGAGTTAGACCCCAGGAGTTCACTAGTCCTTTATCCCATGGTGGTCTTTGTCTCATCCCCACCATTGCAGACAGCCTGCCCCGAGGGGCAATTTTTTTACCCAGACCAGTGTGATCCATTCAGGATCTTCAATCTGAGTTCTCAGAAGTTGGGAGCTATACTAGCCTCTGCATCCTTACCCACTCCCGTATTCTGGACCTTACGGCCCCTGCCCTGGTACCAGGAAGAGCAGAGGTAGAAATGACTCCAGAAGCATCCAGATCACAGTCAATGCATTTACAATCTTTATTGTAAAGAAGTTGCAGTCAGAATATGGGACACTAAAAATACACAATCATGGATTGTTCTTTCAGAAGATATCCATATATACAAAAACTGTAAACATATTCACTTAAATATCACTTAAATAATTGTTCTATGCTACAATGTATAGAGATGTCACTCAACCGCAACTCCAGAGGGAGGCATCTGTCTGTAAGAATGAAATATGGCAACATGTCAGGTTTAACTTTATGTGAAAAGCCAGCTTTGTGCAATGCATGAATAGTCAGCTACACACGAAAATCCCCCATAGGGCTGGGCCTTGAAACAAGGTATAGGGTTGGGAGGGAGAAACTGGTCCAGGAAGCCAAAGTAAGACAGTTTGCAGGAATGGCTGTCTCTGGGGGCACTGTTGGCAGGTGGAAGCTTCGGGACTCTTTCCTGATGAGAACTATGTCTTGCCTGGCACCCAGGTGTTCCACTCTTCCCTTAGGCAAGGTCTTACTGAAGGGCTGTTGCCCAGAACCACAGTTGTCTTGTGCCTTCCTGGCCAGAATGGCCCACAGAGAGGGGCAGCTTATGGGGCACTATGAGATGAAACTGGAAGACTTGACCACAATCACGACAACACTAATAGGCCAGGCTGCTCTAAAGTCTATGAGTGGAAATGGAGGGAGGCTCCAGACAGGGCAAACCAAGACAGCAGCAAAGGTAGTCACTATCCATAGGACTGGGGATGGGGAACAGTGGCCATAATCTCTGGCCTCAAGGTGAGGTTAGTGTCCTTACCCCTGGGCCTGGGAAGCCCAGCACCAGGCTGTGTAGGGCAGCTGGACCTCTGACCTTGGAATAAACAGGTAAGCCCAGGTTACCTGGCCCCTGAAGAGACTGCCTCTTTTTCTGTAACCCACCCTAGGCTGTGCTGCCCTCTTACAGGAGCTCAGGTCTGGACCCTCTTGTTGAGGGGCTTGGTGGGGACAGCTCAGGAACCCCCGAAGGACTTCATCTACTTGGCCAACGGAAACCCACAGTGGCCATCCCCTGTGTCCCTGGCACTGGGTGGGCATGATCTGAGGGAGGTCCCAGGAGGCCTTGGGGCCTGAATTGGTGGGGTGGCTTTTGAGCCCTTGTCTGCACCTGCCAACCTTTAATAGGCAGGCACTTGGTACCCTTTGGGGCTGGTGTCCAGGGTTTCGGTAAAGGGTGGGCTCTGGTAGGTCTCGGTGCCCTCCACGCCACTGCCCACTGGGTAGCCAGGGTAGGCCTGGCCTGCCCCAGTCCCCAGCTGCTCTGTGGCAAAGAGTGACATGTCGGTGCCCAGTCGGAACCGCTGCAGGGCCTTCACGGTGAGCGCCACCTGTAGGGGTTGGGTGCAGGTCAGCTGGGTCAGCTGAAGTGCCCCATCCCCTGCTGCCCCTTGGGCCCACACTTACCCAGCTGAGAATGGAGAAGAAGCTGAAAGCGATTGCAGCCCGGGCCGCATCCCCAGCCTGTGTGGTGCCGGGTCCTGGTGCGGTGCGTTGCCACTGATTGGTGAGGAAGCAGAAGCCCACAAACCACAGGAAGGACCAGAGACCTAAGGACAGCAACCGCAGCCAGCGTAGTTCCACCACCAGCAGGAACCTACGGTCCACGGTGCACCTGGCTTTGCCAGGTCTAAAGTCGACCCCAGGATGATGCCAGGCTCCGCGGCACAGGCCAGTGATAGGGTTCAGCGAGGTACACTGGAGAACCAGCCCGCTCATCACGGGCCCCGCCTACCGCTGTCCCCTCCTTCGCAGGAGCTGGGCCTGTCCTCCCCAGAATCCCCGGGACTTCGGGTGGTCAGGCCCCGCCCCTCCGGGCCCCGCCCCTCCGACCCCGCCCACCTGAGAAGCCCAGGTCCAGGAGCACAGCGCGGCGACGGTCGCGGACACTGCTGATCTGCTGGAAGCGCACGTCGAGCAGCAGGAAGGCGACGCAGGCTAGAAAAGCCCCGAGTCCCAGCACGACGCCAAAGCGGCAGGCACCCGCGTTCCCATTGAAGACGCAGCGCAGTTCCGGGCCGCTGTCGGTGTTCACGTAGCCCTCGTTGACTATAGGCCCAAACACGGCGATGGAGAACACCTACGGGCGGCGGCGGCGCTGCTCAAGGCTTGGTAGAGGCCCTCCTCCCTCTAGCACCTCTGGTCTCCGGGCCTGTGCCCGCGTTCCTCTGCAATACCGGCCTATCTTTCCCAACCCTCCTGTATTTAGTAATTACGGACAATAGGAACCAATTAGTGAACATCTACCAGGTTCAGGTACCGTACTAACACCACTACTTTTAAGTGCAATACTCCAAGAACCCAGGGGATGCCACTGTTTTGTGGTCAAAGATGTCCCCCTGAGTTAGGCTAACTACACAGCAGCTACACCATTCTTATCCCCTCTGCAGTTGGGGATATTGGGGCTCCAACAGGTGAAGGGATTGTCCAGGGTCACTTGGCTTATCAGTCAGAGAAGAGATTCAAGCCAGCTCTTCTGCACGACCTAGGCACCATGGCGTCCACTCAGGGCACACTCCAGAGTGTGGAACAGGAGTCTTCACTTCGGTTGGTCCGTGAGTCCGGAACTGCAGTCTGGAGGGCGTGGGGAAGGGAGGAGTGGATGGGAGGCTGCACAGAGGTGTAGGCCAGGCCCCAGGTCGAACCTGCTCTCAGCACCTGGTAGCTGTGTGCTCCTGGGTAAACAGCCCAGTGTTTGAGGGCTGGGTGGGAGGACCTCCCCAGCCTCCGAAGTGGTGGGTACCTGAGGGATGATGTTTACCATGGAACTGATTAATATCAACCATGAATGTGTTCAGAAGAAGACATCACTAACCTTCAGAGTTTGGCCCAACCTCAGTACCCTCTGGGCACAGTTCAGGCAGGCAGGTGGGGGTGCACCACAGTCCTTTTAAACTTGACACTGTTCTTTTACTCTGGGCAGCCCTATGTTTCCAAAAACGGACCTTGGTCTCAACTTTATCATTTTGCTCTTTTCCTCTCCCACCTCTGAGACACCCAGTCAAAAGAGCAGGCAGGACATGGCAATGTCCCCCCTATGGAGTCCACAGTTGGGACTAAAGCTGAGAGCTAGATGAAGGATTTCAGCTTTCTGGTCTAGTCAGTCACTCCACAGGGAAGGCCGGAGCCGAGCCCTGCCCTCTCTGGGCACCTCCCTCCTCTAACACAAAACCCAGAACTAGGCACTCCACTGTCTCTCCTGCATGGAAGGTGTAGGGGAGCAAGGCATGCCCCAGGGTTCAGAATGCCTCAAACCAGGCACCTTCTCCAGGAAGCCCACCCAGTGCGGAGACCCCTCCCTTACTCTCACCCACAACTTGGAGGCTTGGGGAGGGCCAGCTCCCTTCAAAGGGGCCTGACAGCTGTGTGTGCAGGGGTGAGGGGCGGCCTTCCTGATCCCTCTCGGCTTTTTTAGCTCCTTCGTTGTGCTGGGGCTAGGCGTCCAAGCCTTTGGGCGAATCACGTCCCCACCCCGGTGCCCGTTTCCAGGTCATGAGAACGGGAAAAACAGAGAGAAGGCTGAGGAAAGGGATTGGAGTTAGACCTAAGAAGGAACTGGGGGCCGGGGGCTACCAGCGGTGACCTCTCAAGGTCCCTGGGTCGCCGCCAGCCCCTCCCCGCCCGCAGGTGGGCGCGCCCAGCCCGGTGACGTCACCTCAACCTGCGGCCGGCGGGGGAGGGGCCGGCGAAGGAGAAGACCAAGGTGAGGGGCAGGGGGCGAGGGGCTAGGAGGCGGGTAGGGGAATGAGAGGATGGGGAGGGGTCCCTGGGCAGGGGCCACTCACCCAGGAGGCCACTCTCAGCAGGGTCTGCGGCCGCCGAGCGAAGCTCACGGGGTCCAGGGCGGCCCCCGCACGACCCGCGCCGAACGAGGAGCCCTCCATGGCCCGCTGGGAGGTCAGGCCGCTCGCCCCCGGCGACCTCTGTCTGTCGTCGGCCCGACAACCGACCCCGCCCGAGGCTGCCGGGCTGCTGCCAAGACTGCTGATGCTCTGGATACTGCCGCCGCCGCTGCCTCCCGGGAGCGCGCGGCGGGGGCGCGCGGGGCGGGGCGGGGCCGGGCCGAGCCTGCGCCCCCCACGGGTCCACGCGCGGAGCCGGGCGCTGCTCTTCGTCTGCTCCGCCCACCCTCACCTGCGGTCCCTGGCCTGGCGTGGTGGTGACGTTCCGGTGATCAACTGCCTGGTCCTCCTGGGGGTAGGGGAGGCAGAAAGGCAGGTGAGTACAGAAGGAGAAACTGAGGCCGAGAAACTTTTCCCCTTGCCCATAGGGAGAGACAACCGGCTCCCTGTCTTTGGTCCCAAACGACCATAGATAGGTAACTTTTCTATGATCCAGCTCTACCGTAGCTTTTCCAAAAGGGTCTAAACTCAGCCAGGTCAGAATGATGGCCTCTGCTCACAGGGCATTTATGTGGGAGACTGAGCCCAAAGGAGCCCCTCTCTACATCTTTCCTGGGCCCATGGTGGTCTACAGAAGCTCTCCTCACTGCTTCGTATCCTCCAAGGACTCATTTGTGTGAGAAGTACTGAGTTGGGAATTAGGGGAGAAGGGGAAGGAAGCTGCCCTTGCCTCTACTGGGTCTCCCATATGCCCTGAACCTGGTGACAGGACTCCTTTCCCAAGAGGTTGCCCCCTAAACAAATTCCTCTTAAACAGAAGCCATTTTCCTATGTGTCGTTCTTGGAGAAGGCAGTGTGTGTGTGTGTGTAGGGGGGTGTCATGGAAAGACACCCACTCGTCTATATCTGGTTTTCTGGGATCAGTATAGCAATAAGCAGTCTGTACTATACAAGCATTTTTTCCCCCCTTTTGGTACAAGAAATCCAACTCACACCCTCACATTTTCCAAGCAGGCACTGTGCCACTGAGCTAGATCCTCAGCCCTGTTAGTTCATTCTTCAAAGGGAAGTGTGGGCATGAAGTGATGCCTGGTCCAGCACTCTGGAGATCCATTGTTCTGGCCTCAAATTTCCTCAGCCTAGAAATGGGCCAGTAGGCTGGACAGATGTGGCTAGAGGTGCTGCCCACTAGTGTTTTGTCATGTCAGGTACACCTCCTACCCAATCTTATCCTTCTTATCTGTCAGTGGCAAGTCTTCTGTATCCAGTTCTTCCTTTCCCATGTGTATCATTTGTACCAGCACCCAAACATTTGTCCCAGTTTGGAAAAACAAACAGCTTTTGACTCCTCTGCTTCCTTTATTGTTACCCGCTGCTTTCAACACTTCTCCCTGTCCCCTTGAAATAAAAATAAAGCTCCTAAATGACACATCTGCTCACAGTGACATTTTTTTTAAAAAGTTTTTTTTTTAAATTTTTATTTACTTACTTATTTATTTATTTATTTAGTGTGTGTGTGGCCAGTTCAGCCCACCAGTGGGCGGGGCTGGCTGGCATGTGGTGCTGGGGGATTGAACCGCGGTCCCTGTGCTTTGCTTAGCTTAGCTTGTTCTAAGTAGGTACTTTAGACCACTGAGCCATCTCACCAGCCCTCACAGTAACATTTATGTGGGAGGCCAAGCCCAAAGGGGCATTCATGGGTGAGGGCATGTCTAATTTTGATGGTCCCTTCCCTCTAGGATATGCTTACAGATGTCACCCCTTGCATGTGGGCAACTACTTCACCACCGAGTTTCATCCTCATCTATCACATACCCTCCCTCTTTTTTTTTTTTTTTTTTTTTTGTAGAACCAGGGATTGAACCCGGGTCCCTGGGGCTGGGGAGATAGCTCAGTAGAGTAAGTGCTTCCCTGGCAAGTGCAAGGGCCTGAGTTCAATCCCTGGTTGTGCAAAAAAACCAAAACCAAAAACTCAGGCCCTTGTACTTGCCAGGCAAGTGAAGAATTTATTCTACTGAGCCATCTCCCCAGCCCCACACATATTCTCTCGTGGCAGCCTTTTTCAGGTGCCTTCTCCTGACAGACCTGTTGAGCCTTAGGGGCCCAGGTTCTGTCTTGGGACTTTTCCCTCTGTAATGGCTCCCTTAATGCTAAATATTGACAGCCCTCAAATGCCAGTTTGACCCAGAAACTTTCCCTGCACTATTAGTGTAGATGCCCTGGAAAATATTCCAAGGTGGGGCTGGGACGATAGCTCAGTAGAATAAGTGCTTGTCTGGCAAGCGCAAGGGCCTGAGTTCAATCCCTGGTTCTGCAAAAAATAAAAAATAAATAAAAAATTCCAAAATGAAGTGTGTATATGACAGACAGATACGCAGATACTAACTCTGCTGAGGAGATAGCTCAGTAGAATCAGCACTTGCCTGGCAAGCACAGGGTCCTGAGTTTAATCCCCGGTATGGAAAAAAAGATACTCTGGGGAAGCCAGTTATGGGGTGGTCTTTTTTTTTTTTTTGGTGGAACTGGGGATTGAACTCAGTCCCTTCCTTGCACTTGCCAGGGAAGCACTTATTCTACTGAGCTATCTCCCTGCCCGGGAAGCCAGTTATGAAAAAAGGGAAGTGCAGTAGGAAAGAAGGCAATGAAAATACAGATATCATGTCTGGAATAGAACACAGTTTCCAGGGGCTGGTGAGATGGCTCAGTGCTCTAAAGCACCTACTTAGAACAGGCTTGGCAGAGCACGGGGACTGCGGTTCAATCCCCCAGCACCACATGCCAGCCAGCCCTGCCCCCTGGTGGGCTGAGCTGGCTGCGCGCGCGCACACACACACACACACACACACACACACAAATAAAATTTAAAAAAAAAACCACACAGCTTCCAGGGAGCACCTGATGAATCCTCAGCAAACATGCATTAAGCTGCATCAGGCCTTGAGAAAAGTCATAGGTAAGAGGCCCTGTGACTGGGGAAGAAAGGATGAGCAACTTCTCTATTGGCGGCTCCAGTTGCATTAGTGCCCCCTGGCCCGGCTGGGCAGCACGTGCACATCCTTGCCATCACTGCAAGTCCCAGAACAAAGCACACTGAAAACAGGACTTTTACTTCCAGCATTTTATTTTGGTCTCAAAACTCTAAGAAAGTTGTCCCCAGGGTGATCTTTGGACAAGCCTTGTCACTGCTATGAAAGGCCATGTGCCTGTCAGAGAGTGAGCAATATGGTAGGTGGAACTCTCAGAGAAAAACTCTGCCTGAGTTTTCTCTATGGAAGCTCAGCACAGAGCAGGCCTCATTCCAGAAGCCCAGAGCCACTGAGGCCCCAGCACTGTAGGCATCCCCAGCCACACAATGGCCTGACCTCAAGGAGTAGGCACAGGGAACCCCACCAGGTATTCTTTTTATTTTCTGTCTGCCTTTGGGGGGAATTAGGTCCATGTCCTGAGGTTCAGGCAGGAGGCCACATGCTGATTAGCAAGTGGCAGCATGACTGGTCCTGCCTCCATTCTGAGGTGGAAGCCACAGAATTTTTTCAGTGGGCATTTCCATTTCTACTGCATTCTGCCCGAGAGGAGTGGCCCCTGTGAGCAGTGTCCTGGAGACTGTCCTGCTGAGACACAATAGGCTCTGGTTCAGATGCAATGTAATTACTGTCCCACCCTTCTCCAAACAGGGTGGCCTTCGTTTAGTCACAGGAGCCATCCTTCCAGCCGTCGCGCCAGCGTTCATCCACCTGTGAGCAGTCGAAGTCAGGCTTGCCCAGCTTGCGGTTCACCTCATTGTGCAGATGACATAGCCACTGGGTGAAGGATGTCCGAGTTCGAGTGTCTGGCTGGTTTTTGCATATCCTGTGTATAAGGAGCACAAGAAAGATGATGAAAAAAAGCAGTGGCCATGCTGTCCCTGCCAGCTCCTGGGGAGGGAACTGGGTACTGCTGAGCCATAACTAGCTATGCCCTCATGCTCTAAGGTACAGGAATTCCAAGAACAGAGCTAACCCTGTGGTTTTCTGGGCTGCTCCACACACCCACTTGGGGAGCTTGGCAAACTCTGACAAATGCCCAGGGCAAGGCATTAAATAAGGCATAGATATTAACTTTACAACCTTGTAACAATTGGAAGGCCTCAGCCCAGTGTCTCTAAAAGGATGCAGAGGGGTAGAGCCGTGCATAACTACATAACTGTAAACAGTACCTGAAGCCTAGTGCTCCAAGTCAGCAAGAAACTTCATTCTAGTTGCCCAGGCTTTAAACTGCATTAGCAGCTGTACTGCACATCCAACTCCAAAGCACTTATGGAGGAACAGGCATGACTCTTGGGTGCTTTGATGAAGAGGTGACTTGGGAAAAAATAAGTATATTCCCAAGGTCTTAAAACCAGTAGTCCAGCCCTATAAGTGAAGTCCTAGCTAACCTGTCCAAGGCCTCCAGATGAGTGCAAAGCAAGGCACCCATTAGGGAAGCCCTTCATAGAAGTATGGCTACAGCCAAAACCCAGTAGCACCCAGGGAAAGGAGAAAGCTCATGCAACCCATCCTCTCCCAGATGTCAGTCCCAGCTCCCGAGGCAATCCGCCATCTTTGTATCCATTTTGCTAGGCTGTGACATCAGTCAAGAGCCCTTCCAGTAAGGTTCTGTTGCCTGCAGACAGTGGTCACAGCTTACCTCTCCTTTAAGTCTTCAGCACACTCCTCACACGGATAAAATTTGGAAAATAAATGTATGAACTGGGCCATGTCTTGCTGCTGTTGTGGGGTGGGATGGTCTGGGTAGTAGGCGGCCAGGGTGTGAAGCAGAGTCCAGCTGTGGCGGCCTAGTTCCTCACGATCCGGTGGACAATCCTCCCTAAACTTCCTGTCCTGCTGCAGAAGTAGCCAACTAAGAGTCAGTTCATTGTCCCCCCAACCAGAGACCCGCAAATATTCCCCTTCGATGTAGCCTCAGATACAAGCGCTTGCTTAGCATACCTCGCACCATTGGTTTGGACCCCAGCATTAAAAAAAAAAAAAAAAAAAAAAAAGGAAAGTAGTCCCTTTTTTCAGGTCAAGCCGCAACCCTGACAGCGGACCCAAGTCCTCAGGGAATCGAGCCCTCCTGCGGCCGAAAGCTCAACTTCAGGCCGTGGGGGAGGGGGCTGTCACAGTTCAGGCACAGCCAACCCCAGGGGCGTGGGCCCATTAGATGCCTGCCCGGGACTCCCGAGGACAAGGCATAAGGCCGAGAGCCAGGGCTTAGCGGTCGCGAGGGCACCTGCACCTTCTGCTGAGTCCTCATCCACGTCTTGAAGTCCACGCAGGCCCGACAGGGCCGCCTACGCGAGGCGTCTTGGGTGCCCGGCAGCTCCCGGGTCGCCCCCTGGCCCGGAGTGGGCAACAGAGCGGCGGCATCCTTGCGCCCCGCGCCGCGGCCCCGCGCATCAGTCTCCAGGTCGTCAGTTCCCTCAGATCGCGTGCCACCCGGGAGGAAGGAAAAGAGGTTGCTACGGGAAAAGCGCGCTTGGGGCCCGGCCTCCGCCATCTTGCCCGCGCACAGCCTGCCGGGCCAGGTCAACCTAGAGCTGGACCGCCAGGTCCGCCTCCGGGCGCTGCTAACGCGCGCCCACAAGAACCGAGGCCCGAGGCGGGGCTCGCAGGCGAGGCGTAGCTGGAGGTCCGAGGCGGGGCTCGGAGGCGCATAGCCCGAGGCTCCGGCGCAGAGCGAGGCGGGGCGGGAGGCCCAAGTCCAGCCCGCGGTCGGGCCGGGGATCCGGCTGAGGCGACTTTGGGGGCCCTGAACCTCGCTCCCCGGATTGGGCTTGGCGTTCACCGTCCATTGCGTTGCTCGCGTTTCCTTCAGTACAAGATCAGCGTGCTGCGGAAATAGCTCTGAGACCGCGTTGAGCTCCTGGGCTAAGGCCCAGGCGGGATCCGGGATGCGGTGCGCTCCACCCCTATTGTTGTTTTCCCGAGGTGGAACTGGGCAACACTCTCTTGGCTGCTGCTGGCGCCAGGGCAACGCGGGGACGCAGTCTTACAGCCCCGAGGTCCACAGGCGCTAGGACCCAGGAGCTGTGGGCGCGGCAGTTTGGGAACGCGGGCGGCCGGCTGTTGCCCAAGAGAGGAGCTTTCCCAGCTAGCTCACGTGTTGAATAAAAATATTATTGGGGAGTAGAGGGGTGGGGTTTGAGACCGGGTCTTCCTGCCTTATAGTTCAAACTGGCCTGAACTCCCGATGTAGCTCAGGCTTTAGCCTTTTCCCAAGTACTGGGATTATGTGGTCAGCATTGCCAGCCCATACTATTGTTTTTATTGTTGCCAGCGGTACTAGAGATTGAACACAGTGTCTCCCCAACCTGTTTTTTATTTTTATTTTTTATTTATTTATTTTTTATTTTTAGGGAAGGATCTACAGGGTATTCAGGGTCTCACTACTAGATCGAACTCGTAATGATCCGCCTGTTTACAGCCTCCCAAGAGCTGGGATTGCTGGCGCAAGCTACGAAGACCAGTCTTGTTTCTTTTTAATTTTTTTTTTTGGGGGGGCTGCCCATTAGCTCAGTTGTTTAAGTGACTACTTAAACAAAGCAATCAGGATGCTGTGGTTCGAATCCCAGATCCTCAAGCCTTGCCAGACATGCCTTGAACGCATCCTGAGACAACCAAAAAAAAAAAAAAAACCCACACAATGTTTTTTTTTTTTTTTTTGGGGGGGGGGCGGGGATTGAACTCAGGCCTTTGTGCTTGCCAGGGAAGTGCTTATTCCACTGAGCCATCTCCCCAGCCCATCATCTCCCCACACACCCCCAATCTCCCTGGTCCCCCATTATTTTTCGACACATGATCTCAATAAATGGCTAAATTGCCCAGGCTGCGTTTAAATTTGTAATCATCCTGTGCCTTCAGTTTTCCACAATGGTGGCATTACAGCACCCGCCATCACTCCCTGCTAGATAAGGAATATTTATTTTTGAGACAAGGTCTCCCTATGCAGTTCAGGCTGGCCTCGAACTCAGCAACCTTTAGTGCCTCAGCCACTCAAGTGATGGGATTACAAATGAGTGGTGGGATTACAGATATGCAGCAGCATGGCCACCTCAAGGATAATATCCTGCCTCAAAAAATAACCAGTAAATCCAACAAGACAGAAAAACTAGAGAATCACACTAGCCAATGTTTACTTACATTCATGTACAGAGTGTAGAAAATACAAAAGGGCTTTTTTTTTTTTTTTTTTTCTTCCACAAAAGGGCTTCTCAGGGCCCGGGAGATGGCTCAATAGAATAAGAGCTAAGGAACCCCTTCAAAACCAAACCTGAGGGCTGGTGAGATGGCTCAGTGGTCTAAAGCACCTACTCAGAACAAGCTTAGTCAAAGCACAGGGACCGCGGTCAATCCCCAGCACCCAATGCCAGCCAGCCCCGCCCCCTGGTGGGCTGAGCTGCCCCCCCACATAAATAAATAAATTTTTTTTTTAAAAACCAAATCTGACATGTAAGAAGGGAAAAATCTATGTAAAAAGAAATAAACTTATGGTCCAAATATAAGACAAAAAATATATGGTGAAATTTTTAGCAAAAAACAGTATAAAGATATCCACTCAAAAAAATAAATAAATAAATTTAAAAAATAAAAATAAAAAAACCAAACCTGAGAAGATTTTCACATTTTTTATTTTATTTTTCAAAATTTTATTGATAAACAGATAGCAATGAGACAGTTTCAACAAATAATACATTGCATATATTCTTCTTAGTGGTTAATTGCTGTACAAGATGTGGACTTGAGATCCTATTTACAAACACCATTAGAACAAATCATTCTATTCATTAAGAGAATGCAACTATATATCTATCCTAACCACTTTGAATACACAGATACAAAGTGGTCATTCATCGGTATACCCCATTTTTTCTAAGTTCTGTTATTGAATATTATAGGTGCGTAAACTCAGCAAAATATTCTAAAAGAGTCCAGTAGCCCATAATAGCATTAGGTCTTCTGTTTAACTGGCAATGTCAGAAATTATTGACCTGAGTCCCCCACAGCTCAACATAACAGCATGGCTTTACTTCCTATATTTCGTCTTCATACTTTTCTACTGGATGGTTAAGACCAAGGTAAAGCAGGACCTGTGCAACAAGAGTTGTAGCTTTTTGGTCTGAGAAGGTCAGTGAAATGCTCTCAGGATTTATCCTGAGATCACATTTTTTTTAAAAGTGGCTTTTAAAAAACATTTTTATTTATTTATGTGTGTGTGTGTGTGTGTGTGTGTGTGGCCAGCTCAGCCCACGGGGGGGGGGGGTGCGGGCTGGCATGTAGTGCTGGGGGATTGAACCGCCGTCCCTGTGCTTTGCTAAGCTTGTTCTAAGTAGGTGCTTTTGCTTTAGACCACTTAGCCATCTCACCAGCCCGATTTTGACATTTTGCAGGAGCAAAAAGGCCTATAGAGCAAAATTCTGAGGAGGGGGAAAGAGAGATCCAGAGTTGGCCAGCATTCCACCAAGGATCTTGTCAACTGCTATGGAGATTAGGATTTGTTCTAAAAGGTACTGGATAGGAAAGGTACTGGACAGTTTTGGTTTTTTTATTTTATCTATTTTTCTTGGCAGAACTGAGGAGTGAACTCAGATCCTTGCACTTGCCAGGGAAGTGCTTATTCTACTGAGTCATCTCCTCAGCTCCTGTACTACACAGTTTTGGGCAGGACTACCTTGACCTGATGCTTTTTTTTTTTCTAGGCACTGGAGGATTTTAGTAGTGCTGTACCCCTGAACTACAACCCTATCTCTTTTTCTTTTTTAAATATTTATTTATTTATTTATTTATTTATTGTGTGGCCAGCTCAGCCCACCAGGGGGCGGGCGGGCCAGCATGTGGTGCTGGGGGATTGAACCGCGGTCCCTGTGCTTGCTTTGCCAAGCTTGTTCCAAGTAGGTGCTTTAGACCACTAAGCCATCTCTCCAGCCCATCAATTAGTGTTTTGTTTTGGCTTTTTCTTTCTTTCTTTTTTTTGGTGGAACTGGGGATTGAACTCAGGTCCTTGTGCTTGCCAGGGAAGTGCTTATTCCACTGAGCCATCTCCCCAGCCCATTTTTTAAATCATTTTGAGACAGGGTCTTACTATACAGTTCAGGCTGGCCTTGAGTTCACTTTGTAGCTCAAACTGGTCTGAAACTTTCAATCTTCCAGCCTCAGCATCCCAAGGGCTGGGATTACAGGGGTGTGCTACCATGCCCAGCCTCAATTAATTGTTTTGCTTTGTTTTTTGAGACAGGGTCTCCTATGCAGTTCAAGCTACCCTTGAGCTCACGCTGTAGCCCAGACTGGTTTCAAACTCACAGTGATCCTCCTGCCTCAGCTTCCTGAGTACTGGAATTACAGACATGTGCCACCATGTCCTGCTTGAGTTACCCAATTAGGAATACAATTTGTTCTGATCTTCCTGCCTCAGTCTTCCTGAGCTATTGCATGAGCTACTGCACCTGGCTGAGCTAATTCAATCTCCATTTTGCAAAGATTATCTAGTTGTCATGTGCACCGTGGATTGTTAAAATATATATATATATTAATCATTTATTTATTTGGTACTGTTGCAGCAGCCAGGTTCGATAGAAATATTATAGGCAGTCAGATAGGGCCAGGCCCTTGAGGAGACAAGATGGAAGACAAGAAGACCTTGCAACTTTTGGAAGAGACAGACACTTCCATATGGGCCACATCTCAAGACCAAGACAAAAAGAGGAAACACAGCTATATACTTCCCTAGGGATGTGCATCAGGGATTGATATCTAAATAGGTATCAATTACCTTGAAAGAGCCCAAATGAGTCACTAGCCCAACCCCCAACAGGAAGAGACCCTGTCCAGTATTCATGCCCCCTTGCTACATGACTCGCTTTCCCATTTGATACTGGATTTAATCAATTTTACCTGAGCAATGGTGTTTATAATCTCATTGGTTGAACATAGTTTTGTCCCACCTCATGCCCAACTAAATGAGTTCCCATGTCTTCTCCTCTACCTTAGACCCACCTCACCGCATAGTTTTCCTCTATAAATGTCCCTGGAAGAGACAGCTTCCTGGGAACCTGCTCGGGGGCCCCCCTCCTGTCCCTTTCTTGGACAGGAGCTTTCTTTCCCTCAATAAATATATTCTGCTCATAACCTCTGTTCCTAAAATTCATTCTTTGGTTTTAGAGAACACAAACTCATACAGGTCAGGTCAGGTCAGGAGATCATTTTTCCCTATGTCACTTGGAGCTTCCCTGTGTCATTTGGAGGTCACCCACCTGAGATCAGTTTTTCTCTCTGTATCAGTACCAGGTCTCTCTACACAGACCAGACTCAGTGATCTTTCTGTTGTAGCCTCCCCAGCGCTGGGATTACAGGCATGGGCCACTATGCCCGGTTTCAGTGGGTATTCAGTGCACCCAGAGTGGGGCCATCACAGCATATGGTACCAGGGATTAAACCCAGGTCCTTGTGCTTTCCAGGCAGGTACTTGGACCACTGAACTATATCTCTGGCCCACCATTTCCTTGCCTTAAAAAAAAAAAAAAGAAAAGAAGTCCTAGCTAAAGACAGAAGGTGCTGAGAGATGGAAGAAACAGACAGTTCCAAGATTGCCCAAAATGCAATATCTACAGACCAAAACATGTCTTGGGTACAGCAGACAGGATTGCCACACTGAAGCAAAACAAAGAGATTTATATGATAAACTACACAAAGGTCACCAGAGGTCAATTAGAAGGTACCTGGACTGTCTAAAAAACTATGTGAAGTGTCAGTTCTGAGACATTCTGGGTGTTACTGCCTGGCAGAAAACCTTTGGCTGACTGTCGTCATGATGTCATTTATCCTCTAGGGTTTGTTTGTGCCAGTATTTCCTGGTAGGCTAGATGAGGGTGAGGTCAATAATTGTAGTCTTATCAAACTAGATCCCTACATAGGGGACAGGTCTGTCCTGCCATGGACCTCAGCTGAAGTTGGGAGGGGAAGGTGACAGTTGGGCTGCAGGTGCCCTGGCATTCACCTGTGTCAACAGGTGTTCACTGCCTGGGCCAAGAAAATGGAAGGTTTCATGACTTCAGAGAAAGCGGCTAGTAAGACACACAAAGGCCCTTTATTGAGAGTAAGACATTTTCCTGGAGTGGTGCCCCACAAGCTTTCCACTCCAGAGGGTGTGGATTAGGGGAATTCTCTCAGCCATCCTTTAGGGCCAACAGCTCTGTTTCTGATTCTGTGGGGCTCCATGCCTTTGTTATGTGGAACCAATGACTCTTCAAGTCCTTTTTCTTCACTATGTAGCCCAGACTAGCCTCAAACTTGCAGTAATCCTCCTGTCCAGCCTCCCAAGTGTTGGGATTACAGTGTGCTCCATTACACCTGACTAGGAGGATGTCTTAATGACCTCAAGTCAAAGAAGAATATATTTGTGTTAGATAATTACTTTGAGGGCTGGGGAGATGGCTCAGTAGAATAAGTGCTTGCCTGGCAAGTGCAAGGGCTTGAGTTCAATCCCTGGTTCTGCCCAAAAGAAAAAGAAAGACTTGGGATTACTTTGAGGATTTTTAAAAAATTTTTTTCTAACCCTATACTCACATGTGCAAGGCAAATGCTCTACCACTGAATGCTCTACCACTATATGCCATAGACAGGATTGCCGCACCCTGAAAGTGGTGACTTCAGCACCAGGAAGCATCACTGTGCACCAGTGTTGGTTGGAGCTCTGGAAATCTTCATTATAAGGAAGTAACCCAGAGAGGTGGGGCACTTAGATGAGCCCTCTGCCCAGGGATTATAGGACTTCCTCCACCCCAGTAATAGGGCAGGGGGTCTGGTCTGACTAAGGTTACGCAGTAAGTTGTGATAAACCATGGGTTCTCAAAATAGTCCTAGTGACTACCTCTTCAAACTCCAAGTGCTAGTGGTCAAAAGATAGACCCTGTTATTCAAGCCCCAAGTCTCACCAGTCCAAGGGATCATGGGGAAAGATCCTGTGAACTTCAGTCCTTCCCCAATTCAGCTGGAAAAAAACTCAAAAGTTTGTGGGCAAGCAAGGTGGCACACACTTAATAGTCCCAACTACTTGGGAGGCTGAGGCAAAAGGATGCAAATTGCTGTGGTCTGCGCAATTTACTGTCTCAAAATTGAAATGCAGCTGGGTAAGTGCTCAGTGGTAGAGCATTTGCCTTGCATGTGTGAGCAGAGGGGTCAATCCTTAGTATAGTTAAAAAACAAAACAAACCTCAAAATATGTTTAACAGAGATTTCATCTTCTTTGATTTTCGGACATTAAGAGACTGTCCCATATTAGAATAAAACCAGAGAAAACAGTTGCACTGAGAACTGAGTACTGAGTCATTGGTTCCAGATGAGGAAAAGATGGAGACCCACAGAACTGAGAGATATGCTGGGCCTAAAAAATGACAGGGAGTGGGGTAGAGATGGAGAGAGGGAAAGAGTGTCAGGGAGAGGTGGAGGGAGAAATAGGGAGATATACATTGGGCGAGTCCTCGAAGGAGGCTGCACCAGGAGGGGGAGGGGGTCCTGAGAGAAGGGGTGCAATAGTGCTTTGAAGAGGCTTCCTTCTTCCTCTTCCCAAGGTCACACTCTGGATGGAAGGTCCCAGATGGCAGCCCCAGCCCCTCTAGAGCCCTTTTATTATTATTATTATTATTATTATTATTATTATTATTGTGTGTGTGTGTGTGTGTGTGTGTAGTTTAGATATCATCAGTTTATTATGAGACATGGAAATTATGTACATGATGAAAGACGCAGAACCTCAGTGGAATGGGCAGCATTGTGTGACGCCACTTCAACAATGATTTATGCCGGGGAGATGGCTCAATAGAATAAGCACTTCCCTGGCAAGAGCAAGGGCCTGAGTTCAATCCCTGGTTCTGAAAAACAAAAAAACAGTGATTCACTTCACTCTATGTATTTTCCAAGAATATCACCATCTTTAAACAAGAAAAAATCCTTGCCATCTAGAACTACTTTAGTTAGAACTACTTTGGTGCCTCCATATTCTGGAAGAAGAACTTTATCTCCAACTTTCACACTAACTTGTTGGATCTCTCCACTCTTTCCCTTAGAGCAGGACCCCACAGCTACTACAGTTGCCTGCAGCACTTTGCCTTGAGATTTTTTCTGGAAGCATAATGCCTCCTTTGGGAACAGTTTCAGCTGCGCTCCTTTCAACCAACACGCGGTCAAACAGCGGGAGAAACTTCAGAAATGCCTGTCCTACCAGGGCTCCTGCCCCGCAGCTCACTCCACCACCACGCCGCCTCGGGAAAGAAAAACCTACTCTTCTCTAGAGCCTTTCTAGATTCAAGACTGCCTTACACACTTCCAGGTCCGGCAGCTCATCCCTCCTTCCATATCTCCTTAGACTCCCCCTAAAGCCTGGTATTCCTGTGACTGAATACCCTAGATTTTGGGCTCAGGAGACTCCCAGGAAACTCTGAAGGACCAGGGGGCGTGGTGACCCAGACTGGGACTTGGGCGGGGAATTCCATTCAGGCAGTAGTCTTCCGGGTAGTTGCTCAGAGCCCCCTTGAGGACAGGGAGGTGACGAACTTCTGCCACTCCTCGACACTCCAGAATCACAAACAACGGAGGCTGCAGCGATGGCAAGTTCCAGGTACCCGGTGTCAGTCGGAGCGGCAGCCCTGGTACAGATGGAGCGTCTTCAGGTACGGTGGGATGGAGTCTGCTGGCCCCAAGGGGATGTCCTGTGCAGTCTCTCCAGGGATGCCCAACTTTTTCTCATGCAGACATTTGCCTTCTCTGTGCACTGGTCGGATGGCAGTGACACCTTTGTGCGCAGAAGCTGGAAGGAGTTCAGGCAGATCCAGGCAAGCGATCCTGGGGCCACATAAATGGGCTAGTCGGTAACTCTGGCCGGAGGGCCTCCCTTTCCACCTATGAGGCCTTCCAGCCCCTCTGACCTCCATTCTCCCTGGGTGTACAATGGATTCTCAGACACCAATATTCTACTCTCTCCATCAGAAAACCCTCAAAGAGACCTTTCCAGTGGAGGCAGGCCTGCTGCGGAGATCTGACCGCCTTCTCCCTAAGCTTTCAGGTCAGGCTGCCAGGGCCCCAGAAAGTGCGGGGAAGGCAAAACTTGGGGCAGTGATTGTGGGCTCCCATAATATGCTTTTGTTGCGTCCGCAGATGCACCACTGCTTTCTCGCGGAGGGCGCACAGGTCGCGGCCTGGCGCGCCTGCGGCTTCTGGAGACCTATGCGCAGGCGCTGCTAGCTGTGGGCCGAGTGTTGAGGAGCCCGGTGCTTATAGGCTTCTTTGAGCCACAAGCCCGGGACTTGGAATCCGCACTGCCTCCCAACAGGTACCGACCTTATCAGTCCATTGTCCCAGCACAGAGGCATCTGGGCCAGTTCATGGGGATGGTGGGACCATTCTCACCCTCCCCACCCACTTGCTTGCACGGGCTATCCTCCTCAGCGTGGTGATTCTCCCTGCCCCGGAGCCAGAGAAGCTCTCACCCCGCTCTGTGGACAGCCTTGATATCCAGAGTCTGGAAGTTCAGAGCCTCTGCTGCGTGCAGCCTTTCGACACCCAGGACATACAAGGCAGGTCCTTCCACGCAGAGGCGCAAGAAAGCCTGAATGTGCTGCTGAGACACCCCTCAGGTAGGGCTGACAGGGATATGAAGAACTGCCCTTCTGTCCCCCAGATTGGGACTGGTTTCAGAACCCAAAGCCCTCCCTTGCTTCATACATAGGTTGGTGGCTAGTGGAGAATGAAGACCAGCAGAAGGCCTGGTTTCCAGCTCCCTATCTGGATGAGATGGCCCCAGAGGTGGGCCTGATGCAGGAATGCAGCGGTATGACTATAGCCTCCACTCCAGGCCTGAGGGTGGACCCCAAATAGAGGGAGATAATGGCACATGCTTGATGCTCACAGCTGCAGTGAAGCCAAGTGGGCTACAGTGATTCTGGGTATCAGGGGAAGCTAGCTTGGAAAAGGTTGGAGCCCCTGGCTTCTTGTGATACCACCATGACCTACAAACACCCTCTCAGGGTCCCAGTTCTGTGCTTCCCGAGCCTACAAAGGCATCTGCGCTGATGAACTGTCAGTACCAGCAGGGGCACGTGTGCAGGTCCTGGAAACTTCAGATCGAGGATGGTGGCTATGCAGGTACATGAGTGGGATTTTGGCAGACCCAGTCTGTGGTGTAGGAGTAGGGAAGGGGCCATCTCTGATCAAGCCCATACTTTTCAGGTATGGTGATCAGGCCGGTCTGCTGCCCTCGGTGCTGCTACAACCTGAAGGGTTGGGTGCATTCTTGAGTGTGCCAGCGATTGTTAGCAGGGAGAACAAAGCTACCAGCCCACCTCCTGTCCCTGCCCACCCTCCACTGAGTACCATCCAGCGTCGTTGCTGCACCATCACACGAAGGGCACTGGCGCAGAACTCAGGGCCTCAGAACCCTCCTTGAGGGTGTGAGCTCAGTCTGCAGAAAAGTTGGCTGTGTACTGGACCCCACGCCAAGCAAATGCCCAGGATCCAGATCCCTTGGATGGCGAATAGCTGCATCATTCACCAGGGCTGGGAAACGAATGGATTGGGGGGGGGGGACTTCCTACTTCTTTTGAATAAAATTTCTGGAAAACTCCACTTGGTCTTGTAGTACTGAGGGCAGTCTTTGGAACCACAGCTAGGTTGGGGTGGTCTGCCACATTGAGACCATCAGGTGCCAAGGTGCACCCTGGTTGGTGAGGGCTGTGTCTGGGGACCTGGGGGAAGATAGCCCAGATCCACTCTTGATAGGAAAAGTATCACTTTATGTGTCTCACACAGCAGGGGGGGCAGCAGGAAGAGGGGACAGCTTCATGTTGTGCCACAGGAAGTCCAAGAATGTGGCTGCTTGCAGTGTCCGGCTGAGTCTCTGAAAATGCCGCTCTGGAGAAGACAAAGGGAGGTCAGATAATGCATGTGCCCACCAGGGTGCTTCTCTACCCAGGCTGTGCCTACATACCAGTGTAGGGCAGCAGGGCCTCAAGTGCAGCCCGTACACCCTCATAGGCCAGCAGCTCCTCAGGGGCCTCATGTTGTAGCAGCACGTTCAGCACTGCCTGTGCTTCATGGCAATGCCGTGAGTTGGTGTTCCACATGACACAGAAACGCAACAGGGCCTCTGTGGGCAACAGGGACAGTCACCCTGCCTGCCAAGTTTTCTGATCTCTCTCTGCCCACCAGGCCACCCCTGTGGACTTGCTCTTGCCCACATGCCCAGGACCTTTCTGGTCTCGCCGCAGTCGGAGAACAGTGCCTTCTAGCTTCTCACAGGCCTCTGGGTCCCTCCGAATGGCTATGGGAGGAGGCAAGTCTGAGACCTAGGAAGGGGCTCAATGGTCCCAAGCCTTCCCCAGCTCTAACCTACCCATGGCAAGCACTGACCCTGAATAACTGTCAGCACTGTGTGTGGGCGATCCAGGGAGATGGCCAGGCCCAGTGCCCGCAGGTATCGCTTTTCATGGAGCAGGTTGTCCAGTTCTTGCTGCCTGGCAGTGGGAAAAGAAGGATAGGGGCCATTTGGACTCTGACTGGGGCTGAAGCTAGTCAGGAGGCCTGCACTTAGCACCCACTGGTGTGAGCCCAACCCTCAGTCTGCGTCCCTGTGGCATAAAGCAGGGGTTTACAGACACTCCTTAGTGCACGGGGGTGCTACTGCAGAGCCTGTGCTTACTTGACTACCTGCTCCTCTTGCTTGGCCTGCTCCTCTGCTTGTTCTGCCTCAGTCACATCCTGGGATTACAATGGGGTTAGATAGGTATCCCTATTTCTTGCCCTGCCCACCCCTCTCCTCAGGGTCCACAACCTTCCAGAGAATGACTCGGGAGTCGCTGGCACCAGTGAGGGCATGGTCATCTATCTGGTTGCAGTGTAATCCCCAGACTTTGTCCTCATGGGCGTCCAGTGTCCGTACACACTCGTTGTTCTTGATGGTCCAAAGCTTCAAGAGCCCATCTGAGCCACTGGGTTTGGGATAAGGGGATCTCACTGGGAAGGGCCTATTTCGCACCTCATCCCACCTCATCCCCACCCAGCCCCTAGCTCACTCACCTAGACAGTAATTGTGTGCCACGGCTCACAAAGGCCACCTTCAGCACAGAAGCATCATGCCCCTCAAATGTCTGTGGGGGTAAGGACATGAGATGTCACCTGGTGAACTGTTACAAGGAAGGCCTGGATCAGAAGGGATGCTGCTTACCTTGAGGCAGCTTAAATCCTGCAGTGACCAGAGCTTGATGGTGCCATCAGCTGAGGCTGTGGCCAGCACTTGATCCATGGGTGAAAACTGAACACACCAAAGGCCACGTCGGTGGCCTGAAAAAATTCCCACCAGCTGACACTGTGGCAGGGCCCAGAGTTTGGCAGTGCGGTCCTGTGAGCCTGTGGCCAACAGCTTGTCATTGGGAGCAATAGCCACACTGTTGATGTCCTGGTGATGGGAAAAGGTGGTAACTCAGGCCACCACCCCATCAAGGGCTTGGCCACCCCCACCCCAGTAGCTATATATGGTCACCTTGTCATGACAGCGCTGGGTGGCCTGGGCCTGTAGAAGGATGGGGTCGCTGTCTGGGGCCATGCTCTTGGACAGCATGCCTTCAGGGAGGGGCCACAATTTCACAGTGCAGTCCTGGCTGCCTGTCACCAGAAAGGATTCCTTCAGCCTGTACCACAATAAGAAAGAATACTGCCGAGGTCCAGATAGTACTTGTATATGATATACCAATATATCATAGGAATGGCTTCACGGACCATGATCCAGACCAGTAGGACTGTCCAAGAATGTAAATTGGCTCTGGTCCTCTGAATGTCCACCTACTTTCAGTATCCCCAACCCAACAACTTGGTACCACCAGGGGATCCAAGCCCTAGTATGAGATGCTATTTCCCAGTGGGCCTCGTTCAATGCCATCCTCTTCACTATGATACCCTCCACCCTTTGTCCACCTAAGGCTACTTCCAAAGAATCCGCTCATGGTACCTGGACTCATTTTCTGTTCTACATCCCTGGGCTAGAGCCTCAAAGGAAAAAGGCCAAAGCTGAAATCTCTTCCCTACCCTCCGCTGTGAGCTGGAACCCCAATGGGAAGTTTAGGTCTCCAACTTCTCTACAATTCTGAATCTAGCTGTGGTCCCACTACCTGGAGCAGCAGACAGTGCCCACACTGTGTGTGTGTCCAGAACCCTGAGCGACACAGGACACCTGGCCAGCCTTGTTCATTCTCCAGATGCGAATGCTCTGATCCTAGAGACAAGAGGAGTTGGGACAGAAGTTGGATTGTGGTCCTTTTGCCTTCATTTTCTCTCCTGGAGGGCTGATACCTTCACACTGTTTAGGAGACTGACCTTGGCACAGCTGGCAAAGAGCCACCCCTTCCGAAACACATCCAGGGCCAGGACAATGTCTATAAAAGAGAAGGGAGGACCAGTTAAATAGCTCAGCGATCTAAAGCACCTGCTTAGGTAAGTGCAGGGACTGCAGTTCAATCCCTGGCCCTATATGCAGCGCCAGCCCCACCTCCAGGGTGGGCTGAGCTGGCCATAAAAAAAAAAAAAAAAAAGAAAAGAAAAAGAAAAAAGAAAAAAAAAAAAAAAAGAAAAAGATAGGAGTAGTCAGAGATCAAGTATAGTAAGGAGACAGGGGATAGGCAACAATCAAACCCAGAATGGGGTTGCAGGGGTATCAGTGGGCTCTACTTGCCTGTATGGCCATGGAGGACCTGGCAAGCTGATGTTTGTAGCTCAAAAACTTTCAGGCAGGGGCTGTTGGAAGCCACAACAATGTGGGAGTCCTTGGGCCCAAGGAACCGGACATCCAAAATTTCCTCACTATAGCCTGCAAACTGGGAGGGTCAAGAAGGCCATGAGCTAGTTCCTTTATGAGTAGAGGGTAGGTCCCTTCTGCTTAGGTTGTGCAGGGGCATGTGATTACCTGTTTCTGCAGCTGTAGGGAGCATGCTTCATAGAGCATCAGGTTGTGGTCGGCAGTGACACTGAGGAGCAGGTTAGCAGCGTGGACCAGGGAGCAGTGGGTCAGCTCTCGCCCTGGGCCTGGCAGCTGTGGCTGGGTATACACACACTGCCCAGAAGCTGCTTCCCACACACGTAGTATGCCTGTGTGGGGACAGGGTTGCTGGGACTCACAGACCCACAGGTCTACCCCCGATCCTGTAGCCTGCTCGTGGCCAGGCCCACACACCTTGGTCACCAGCTGTCAGGAAATGCAGGCTTGAGTTCTTCACACCCAGTGCAGGAGCTGGCTCCTCAGGTAGCAGCACAGCAGTCTCCACACTCTGCGGGAGTTCAGAGGCTGTAGATATTCCCAACTCCACCCCTAGCCTGCCTCACTGGCCCTATTCTAAAGTCACTTGTACCTCAAACACAGGCACAGTCTTAGTGGCCTCGTGGCTCTGAAGGTCCCAGACAATGCAGATCTTGTCACGGCCAGAGCTGGAGAGAAACAACCACCTCAGTTTTAGAGTCTCAGCCTTGTCACCTAGTGAATTTTTTTTCTGCCTCCCAAGGCCTGCATGCCCCTTCCTGTCTCCCACCTCAGCATACTGTGGCCGTCAGCACTGAAGGCCAGGGATGTGACAGCACTATAGTGGGCAGTCAGCATGGCCAGGCATGAGCGGTCCTGCAGTGACCACATGCGAATAGCAGCATCTGCAGCTGAGGAGAAGAGCAGCAGGCGAGTGGGGTCCGGGTGGAAGGCCACCAAACTGCAGGTAGGAAGGGAATGCATGAGTTGTGCCATCCAATAGTACCTCTGCTACCCACCCTCTGCTGCTTCCACTCACTGCACGACACCAGATGATCCCCGGAAGTAGTGTGTTCCGTAGTGCCGGACAACATCCCAGACACGCACAGCCCCGTCACAGCCCCCTGCAAGAACATGCTTGAGGTGAGGGAGTGGATATGTCCAAAGCCCCTGCCTTATCCCTTGCAGCCCTCCTGCCCAGCTGGTGCCCTACCTGTGGCTAGCAGTGTGGACGTGGGATCGAAGGCCATGGTAGCCACAGGGGCTGTGTGTATTGCTTTCCACAGACGGGTAATACTACCTTCTCGCCAAGCCCACTGAGCCAACAGCAGTGCTCGACTGGCTGTCACCAGCACCTGATGGAAGGTGTAATTCAGCCTAGAGGTGAAGTATCATCATGTCTAAATGTGGGAGAGAACTACCAGGGCTCACCTTCTGCCCCTGCTCCACATACCTCATCATCAGGACTGAGGTCAAAGGCAGTGATGTCTTCTTGGTCCTCCTAATGAAAAGGAACAGAGTGCCAGGACAACTAATTGCCCTTTCCCTTTGTTTTATTTTTATTTTTATTTTTTTTAAAGCATATTTTTATTTATTTATTTTACATTTATTTATTGTGTGTGTGTGGCCAGCTCAGCCCACCAGGGGGCAGGGCTGGCTGGCATGTGGTGCTGGGGGATTAGAACCACGGTCCCTGCTTTGCCAAGCTTGTTCCAAGTAGGTGCTTTAGACCACTGAGCCATCTCTCCAGTCCCTCCCTTTGTTTTAAATTTATTTATTTTTTTTTTATTTTTTGGGGGGCAGAACCGGGGATTGAACTCAGGCCCTTGTGCTTGCCAGGGAAGTGCTTATTCCACTGAGCCATCTCCCCAGCCTCTTTGGGCTCATAGTGATCCTCTTGTCTTAGCCTCCCCAATGCTGGGCTCACAGGCATGCGCCACCATGCCCAGTTTTGGTGGCCAGCATAGCATGTGGTACTGAGGATTGAACCCAGGTCCTTGCACTTGCCAGGCAGATGCTTAGACCGCTACCTCCACAAACCAACTAGCTACCCTTTCTATTAGCCCCCTCATACTTGCCCACCCTATTCTCACCTGCTCTAGGCTCTGTAGTACAGTCCCAGAGGCCACATCTAGAACATTGACTCTGGTACCACAGACGCAGAAGAGGTGTCGGCCTGTCTGGTCGAGCTAAGAATGCAAAGTCTCAGATAAGGCAATACTAGGCAGCCCTACGCAAACTTTTCCTTCCCTTCCACCCTGGTCATCTTCAAGGAGGGTACCTGTGCTTTCCCGCCCTTGTAGAAAGGCTCGATTTTGCGCTCCACAGCATAGCTGAGAAGAGAACAAAAGTAAGTGATCACTCACTGTCTTACCCATTACTTCCTAGTCCTGGGGTGAATGCTTGTGAACCCAATAAGCCCTTGCAGGGTTCTAGGGCAGCAGCAAACAATCCGGAGGATCAAGTAACAAACTTTATGGGAAGGTGGCACTACAGTTCTCTCATGTTACAAGAAGGATGACACCCTAGGCTGGTGGGTGATCTTCATGGTGTTCCCCCCCCCATAGGGTCTTGCAGCAGTTATGTGGTAGGCCCGAATGGAGAAAAGCAGCCCAATAGCAGTCTTCAGACCAAAAGGCCTTGGGGGCCCCTGCTGGCTGTGAGAGTCTATCCTGTGGTAACTAAATCTAGGGCACCATCCTCCTTAGCTCTCCCCTGGGGACCAGCCCCACTCCTCCCCAGCCTAGATCCTACTAATCCTAGCTTCACCTGATGCTGCTCCCCAAGCAGCTATCATTTCTGTGACCTCACTCATGCTCCTTCCCTCTCCCCCTGGTTTGGGCCACTGCAATCTCCTTCAGATGGCCACTCCAGACTCTTCACCAAGCACACTATTCTACTCTCTCAACCCTGCCGCAAGTTACCTGGTAAGCAACTATCTCACAAGCTTGCTTAAAAGCCTCCCCTCCACTAACACATATCTGAGACTTTGCCCAGAAGGGTCTCTGTTCATCTTTCTTTGCTTTCTGAGCTCACACAGCAGCCCCTTGCTCCTGCCCTGGCCATGTGTATGTTCTGGCCCTCTTCAGATTTTAGAGCTGGGCCAACTCTACTCCTCAGAAAGCCTGCCTGCTACACTGCATGCCAGACAACTCTCCAACAGGGGTACTGTCATCACCAAGTCTCTCTTTGCTAGTGTTTGTCACAATCCAAGGCACACAGCTGCTGATGAAAATGATTATTCCCAAGAAACTAAATCATTCAGTTACGGGACCAGGCCCGAGTTTATTCCCAGCTGTAGTCATTCAGCAGAGGTTAAGGGACTGAATAATCACGAGACTCACGGTCTCCCCGCGGACCCATCCACTCCCTGACCCTGCTCTCCGAGAAGTGGGCTAACAGGTGAGACCTCCTCAGGCAGCTTGCTCACGGGCAGGTCTTCGTCTCCTGCCACCATTCTGGCCCAACCCCGACTTGTGCTCCGCTCGCGCTTCCCCTGGATATCTCATTCCCACGTCGTGAAACTAAAATAGCCTCCTCTTCTGGCAAGTAAACGACACCTGGTGCACCTGGCCTACCGCGCACCCAGACAGCAACCCCTGGGTCGGTGGCCACTCTCCAGCTTCCTATCCCCACGGCGTCTCCCAAAACCCTGCGGCCCAGGTGCTCTCCCAGACCCAAAAGGGTCCCCAGTTGACCGTCGGCCTGGCTCCGCGCGCACCACGGGCACCTTTGTTACCTCAGCAGTGAACCCGTGCCCCTCCCCCGCTGGCCGCCCCAGCCCCAGCCTTACTTGGCTTTAAAGCGGCTCACTCCGGTCGCGCTTTGAGCCATATTACTGCCAAGCTCTGTGTCCTCTGGATCCTACACCACCGCCGCGTGACGGAACGCGGCGTGCCACTCCAAGCTCCCGGCGCGGGGAGATGACTTTAGACCAAGCAGTTACGTCATCAGCACTGCGCCGCAGGCGCCACCTTTGTTGTGGGAGGTGGCTGCTAGGTCCCAGAACGAGTCAGGTCCAGTCGTTTCCTACCTAGAGGGTAGGATGTGGTGGAATGGTGGGAGACCAGCCCGGGCTAGAACGTGAGCTCAAAGCCATCGTGAACTGCATAGAGGGCCGGGGAGACAGCTCAGTGACTGGCATGCACAAGGTCCCGCGTTTGATTCCCGGTACCGACCGCAAAAAGACCAAAAAAAAAAAAAAAAAAAAAAGAAAGAGGGAGAGAAAATAAATCAGGTAGTTTCAGTCATTCAAATATCTTCTGCGCAAAGAACGTTGCTTACTTGCTTGGAAGACTTCAGGAAATAAATTCCTGCTGTCCTATAGCTCATTTTCCACTGGGCAGAAGGAAAGGTGGGCAGAGGAGGCAAGGAATACCACATTAAATGACTAGGGCTGTGGAAATAGCTCCCCAAGAGATGAGGCAGAGATGGAGTTTACATTTTTTTTCACTTAGATTTGAAGGTGGAGCTCAGGACTTTTGCACTGACATATCCTTTGTGGGGCTTTTTGTTTGTTTTGTGAGATAGGGTCTCCCTATGTAGTGCAGGTTAGCCTTCAGCTCATGCCGATCTTCCTCTGCCAGAGCCTCGAGTGCTAGAATTACAGGCAAGTGGCCATCAGGCTTGACAGTTCTGTGGTTTTGGAGGGTGGATTGAACCTATAATTCTTTTGCCTCAGCCTCCTAGAGCACTGGGATTACAGATATACAGGACCATACAAGAGGTGCAGTTTTAACTGGGGGTGGTGGGACAGGCGAGATAGCTCAGCAGACTGAGTGCCTGCTTCAGCAAGCATAGGGACTGCCAGCCTCCGCCCCTGGGCATGCTGAGCCTGCTGACTCCAGGCACGGTGGCACATACCTGTAATCCCAGCACTCAGGAGATTGAGCCAGGAGGATCTCTGCAAGTTTGAGGCCAGACTGGGGGCTACAAAAGTGAGTACAGGGACCAGAGAGATAGCTCAGCGGTCTAAAGTACCTGCTTAGGGGCCAGAGAGATGGCTCAGTGGAATAAGCGCTTCCCTGGCAAGTGCAAGGGCCTGAGTTCAATCCCTGGTTCCAGAAAAAAAAAAAAAAAAAAAAAGCCCCGTTATCTTGGGGCTGGTGAGATGGCTCAGTGGTCTAAAGCACCTACTTAGAGCAAGCTTAACAAAGCACAAGGACCGCTGTTCGGTCCTGGCACCACATGCCAGCCAGCCCCGCCCCCTGGTGGGCTGAGCTGGCCACACACACACACACACACAAATAAATAAAGTACCTGCTTAGGCAAGCTTAGGCAGGCATAGGGGACCATGGTTCAATCCCAGCACCACATGCTATGCCAAGCTGCCCTCCGGGCAGGCGGAGCCAGCCAAAAACTAAATAAATAAAAATAAAAGTGAGAGCCGGGGAGATAGCTCAGTCGAACAAGTGTTTGCCTGGCAAGCACAAGATCCTGAGTTCAATCCCCGGTTCCACCAAGAAAGAAAAATAAGGAAAAGAAAAAAAAAAACAAAAAACAAAAAACAACTAAATAAATGGGGTGGTGGAGTAGGCTGAACTGAGAGTGACACCTAAGCAACTATAGTGAAGCATGGAGCCCTATGGTTTATCTGGCAATTATGCTGATGCAGTGTGATGGGTTGTTGAAGTAGAGTCCAATTTTTAATGGACTTTCAACAAAGAAAGAATACACCCCATGGGGGGCCGGGGAGATGGCTCAGTAGAATAAGTGCTTCCCTGGGAAGCGGAAGGGCCCGAGTTCAATCCCCGATTCCGCAAAAACAAACAAACAAACAAACAAAACAACAACAACAACAAAAAACACCCCATCATAGAAGAAAAGGCAGCTATATGTATTAAAGTTAAAATTAATATGAAGTATCCTCTGGAAGTACAAATTCATGCCAGCAGAAACAAAAGGGCAGGGTAGCATGAATGGGAAAAAAGTGGTGTCGGGACTATGGCAGAACAGGGAGGAAAGGGGTCAGGGAGATAGCTCAGTAGAATAAGTGCTTCCCTGGCCTGAGTTCAATCCCCGGTTCCACCAAAAAAAGAACAGGGAGGTGAAAAATCAGGCTTTTTTTTTTTTTGCAGAACCAGGGATTGTACTCAGACCTTTGCAAGTGCTTATTCTACTGAGCTATCTCCACTGCCCCAAGGCTTTTGGATTTAGAAGATGAGTACCTCAGATAGGTGTGGTGGAGCACACGTGTAATCCCAGTACTCAGGGAGCTGACACAGGAGGACCACCTTGAGTTTGAGGCCAACTACATAGTGAGATAAAACAGAAAACAGACCAGTGGCTACAGTCCCCTAGAGGGACTCTAAAGAGAGGCAAAAGAAGATGGGATCATTGTAAGCCACTGCAAGAGCAGCTTTTACTCTGTAAAGTAAAATTAATTTGAACTTTTAGTACCATTTACTATAATGCGGGTAAAACAGATGGGTAGGAAGGAGACTGGGAGAGGAGACAAGGAAAACATGTACAAGGAAAGACATTTGAGGGAAAAGAGGAAAGCAGAGAGGAAGAACTTTCCAGGAGGGGGAATAACCAGAGGAAACCGCCTTTTGGGATGAAGCTGGGCAACTAAGGGTTAACTGTACAGCTAAGCTCCCTGATGATTATGACCCTGTGTGCAGCTATGAAGTAATGTCAGTGGGGCACAGCACTGCTCTTGATCACTGCTTGCCATCCCCCATCATGGCTTTGCTTCTGTAAACTTCATTTTGTGCTGATCCCCAGTGAAAAATTGCCTTAAGGGCCGGGGAGATGGCTCAGTAGAATAAGCGCTTGCCTGGCAAGTGCAAAGGTCTGAGTTCAATTCCCAGTTCCACCAAAAAAAAAAAAAAAAGGAAGAAAAATTGCCTTGTAGGAAAGAAATAATATAAAAGTGGAAACAGGGCTTTGTTCTCCATTTTCAGGAGGATTTGAGTGTTCTGTAGATACCAGCAGAATAAACTGCTCGTTGTTCCTAAAACTCTGTGTCTTGTTGGTTCTATCAAGGATTCCTTGAAGTTTCCTGCTTCACCAAGACCTAGAGGGAAGTGGAAGAGGAAGACAGGTCTTGGAGACACAAGGGAAGGTTGGCCAGATAGCTCAGGGGAACTAAAGTGCCTGCTTAGGCACAGTGCAGCGGAGGAGTTTGATCCCTGGTGTGCCCTGCTGGCCGTGTCTGGTGCATGTTGAGATGGGCAATTGAGACTGGGTGTGGTGGCGCATGCCTGTAATCCCAGCGCTTGGGAGGCTGAAAACGGGAGAATCACTACAGGTCTCACCTGTGTAGTAAGACCCTGTACTAAATACATTAAAAATGAAACAAAACAAAATCACAAGGGAAAAAGGTCAAAGCCCTGGGGTAGCTAGGCGTGGTGGCACGTGTAGAATCCCAGCCCTCTGGAGGTTGAGGCAGGAGGATCACCACTAGTTCAAGGCCAACCTGAGTTACATAGTAAGATCCTGTCTTTTTTTCTTTTTGCGGAACCAGGAATTGAACTCAGGACCTTGCACTTACAAGGCAAGCACTCATTCTACTGAGCCATCTCCCAAGCCCAAATTTTACTTATTTATTTATTTAATATTTTAGGGAAGGTTCTACAGGGTGTTCAGGTTCTCACTACTAGTTCGGACTTGTAGTGATCCGCATAGGGCCTCCCAAGAGCTGGGATTACTGGTGTGGGCCACCACACCTGGTCTCAATTGCCCTCAGTGAGCCCTGGGGGCAGGGATGGAACCCCAGCCCCTGGGCCTTCTTGCAGGTGCTTTAATCAGCAGGAGCTATTTGTAGCAAGATCCTGTCTTTAAAAAAAAAAAAAAAAAAGTGCCTTGTGATGTTTTTGTGGGAAAGGAGTAAGGTGGTCTGGGAAGGTCCACAGGGCAGAAGAATGGTCAGGTCTGGACTCCACATTTATTTACCCTTCTATTTCCAAGGCACCTTGGCTCTGCGCCCCAGCACTGCCTTCTGGGCATGCTGCATCATCTCCCAGGAGGTGGCTGAGCTGGGCCAGCTGCCTGCGTAGGAGTCTGGAGGCACGGTGCACTTTGCGTACTCGCTGCAGTAGTCCCTGTAGCATTGTCTGGCTGCGCTTCTGTTGCTCACTCCAGGCGTTCCGCAGCTTGAGGTAGCAGTTATAATGAGCAAGCTCTGCCATGCCCAAGGTGGCCCCACAGCCCAGGGGGCAATGCTGCTGGCCACCCTGCTGGCAGCGCTGTTGATGCTCAGCCAGGGCACTGCGAAACACCCGGGCATAGCAGCCTTCATTGGGGCAGGCCACCAGCTCAAATGGGCATGAGTCTTGGTGCCTCTTGCTGTGGGCCAGGGGGCATGTTACCAAGCAGCCAGCTTCAGCATTCTTGCACTGGAGGTGAAAGAGAGCTGCATGTGAGCCAAACCAGGTAGGGAACTGCCAGCTGGGCATCCCATGAAATCTCATCTACTGAACCAAGAACCAGTGAACTGGAAACTGCCTGAGATTTTCTAACTCCAGAGCAAACAGTTAGGAAATGCTTTTTTTTTTTTTTTTTTTTTTTTTACGGTACCAGGATTGAACTCAGCACCTTGCACTTATTCTACTGAGCTATCTCCCCAGCCCCTGGGAAATGGTTGGAAGGCAAGGAGATCTTAGATGTTCCAGAGGAAGGTATAAGCCTGAGTCTTGAAGAACAGGGAAGTTTTTTGGTTTGTTTTTTGAGACAGAGTCTGGCTACGTAGTTCAGACTGGCCTCAAACTTGTGTTGAGAGCCACCTGCCTCTGTTTCTGAGTACTGGGATTATAGATATGTCACCACATATTTTTTTGTTTTATTTTGTTTTGTTTTTTGGTACTGGGGATCAAACTCAGGACCTCATGCTTGCCAGGCAGGCTTTATGCCACTGAGCTAGTCATCTGGCCCAAAAGCAAGTATCCCTCAGGTGAGGTGAGCTTACAACATTGTACAAGATAGTCTAAATGTCCCTGCAGTAGTCTCCCATTTGGGATTTACTTTATTAAATAGTCTTTGTTTTTGTACCTGGGGTTGAACTTAGGACCTTGTGTTTGCCAGGCAGGCACTTTTCCCATTGTCTCTCTGGCATAGCCAGCCTTTTTTTTTTTTTTTTTTTTTTTTTGTACTGGGAATTAAACTCAGGACCTTGCCTGGCTGAATTGTTTTTCCAAATCTTAGTTTCCAGCCAGGTGTGGTGGTGTACACCTGTAATCCTAGTGCTCAGAGAAGGCTGAGGCAGGATTGCCAGTTTGAGGTCAGGCTTTTTACACAGTGAGATTCTGTCTTAAAAACAAAACAGGGCTGGGGAGATTGCTCGGTACAAGTGCTTGCCAGGCAAGCACAAGGGCCCGAGTTCAATCTCCAGGTCCGCTAAAACAAAACAAAACAAAACAAAACAAAACAAAACAAAAAAAATGGGCCAGGGAGATAGCTCAGTGGCATAAGCACCTGTCTGGCAAGCAGAAGGCCCTTTGATCCCCAGTACCCAAAAAACAAAGCAGAAGCAAAAGGTCTTAGTTTCACCATGTGCAAACTTAGGGGACTGAAGAGTAATGGCGAGCACACCAGGCATTTTATCCTCTAAAAAAAATCCTCTATAATCCCCACTTATGGCTAAATACTAGCATATCAAAAGGGTCAAGTAACTTGTCCTAAATTGCAGGGGAAAGAAGTGATATAGCTACAATTCAAACTTAGCCAGGCCTACTGACCTATGAGGGCTTTACTGTTTTTCTTTAAGGTAGAATCCAAATTTGTAGCCTAGGTGGGCTTTGAACTTATAGCAATCACAACTTAGCCTTCCGGTGTGCATAGTGCATCACCAGTCTGGCCTCCCTGGATACTTCTCCCCTTCTCCTGGCTCTGCCCCACCCCCACGAAGGTAGTGAGTGGGCCCGCTGCACTACCTTGACTTCTAGATGGCCAATGGTTCTCCGAAGTTTATTCACATAGACCATGTTTTTCCTTTGCACCTCCTTCCTACAGCATGGACAGGTGTTTTGTCTGGAATGAGGCAGGAGTGGAGTTGAGTGTTGGGGAGACAAGGGGACAGAGGCGACATGGCTGCTAGGTCAGCTCCACCTTCACTGGATGACCCAGGTGGTCTCTTCAGCTGAAGGCACGAGGGGGTACTACAGCCTTCAGTTCCAGGGCTGGAGCCAGGGAACACATGCCAGGGGCAACTGGGGCTCAATGTTTGTTTTGCCACACTTTCCCATTTTGAGCCACATCAAAGGCCTCCCCAACCCTCCCAGCTCCCTGGGTACCCTGTGGCACCTGGCTAGCCACTTAAGGATGCACTTTTTGCAGAAGATATGGCTGCATGACAACCTCGTCGGCCTCTTGAGTACCCCATGGCAGACGGAGCACAGGAACTTGCAGTCAGGAGGGCTGGCAAAGAGGTTGAGATCATACCCACCACTCTGCAAAGACCAGGTCAAGATTAGGCCTTACTGAGATCAGGCTCAGAGCTACCCATTCACATGTTCAGGAAAAGACCTTGGTAACCTTTGGGTGGGAAGAGTCCCATGTGGGTGTCAGCACTAGTTGGAGGGACCAGTTGTGGGAATCAATTCCCAAGGCTACCAACAATAATTGTGGGGTAGAGAAAAACCCAGTTAAAGCCTCCCAAAAGTCCCTTCAAACAGGGACTGTAAACCAGTTCATCCTTTCTTAATAGTAGTGCGTTCCATCCCTGGACTGCCAAGCATCTGTCCAGATTTGGGCTTATTATCTCAGAATTGGAAGTAGATGGGTCCCAGGCTTACCATGATCTGCGTCTGGATGGCAGCTCCACTGACACCCAGGGTTCAGGCACCTCCATTTCATAGCAGGCGTAGGCTGACATCACAGTAGCATTGTCCACTGTGACAGCTCAGGCCAAATCACAGTTGTGGCCCATGGCTCGTAGGGACCCTGTATCACCTAGCTAGCCCTTGTTGCCCTCTGTGAATATGAGGACTGGTCCATGAACCTCTGCTTGCCTTGATTGTGCCTGACAGCTGATTTTCCATCAGCACTGATCAGGGTGTTAGCTAGGTCCTCACAATTAGGCTGCTCTCAAGCTGAAGAATCCACCACTCTGCTCAAGCAAGAAGCCTGAGACTAAAATAAATTTTTTATCAGGATGGTTCTCAGGCTTATAGGAAACCCTATCAATCTACAGAATGTCACATTGTAAATCAGCAGAATAACACCGTCCTGTATTTTTTTTTTTTTTTTGGCGTAACCAGGGATTGAACTCAGGCCCTTGTGCTTGCCAGGGAAGCGCTTATTCCACTGAGCCATCTCCCCAGCCCCTTTTAACTGTTTTTTTTTTTTTTTAAAAACACTGTCCTGTATTTCCCTTTGTCCAAACAAGCACCAAACCTACTAATGACCCCTGATGCCCCTCCCATTCTTACATTAGACTGCATAAAAGACTCTCTTCCTTTGTGGTGACTTTCTTGCTCTTGACCAGGTTGCACCTAGCCTGAAATAGTTATCATTGTCTCACTTGCTCCTCAGGATCTTACTTGACACAGGGAACCAAGGTCAGCACAACCACAGGAACTGCTGCCTTTGATAGTACTGCTGGGGTAAGTAGACCTACAAGAGTTTAGAGGTGCCAGACATTGAACCACGGGTTTTTACTAACATGGCTTACTAGGGGGTCGGGTGGCTCCACGGGAGAGGACTAAATCTTGGTACAACTTGTAGCCTCTTTCCCACCCATGGCAGGCTGACCACTTGGGCAGACCTGTGCAGAACAGCTGAGCAATACATGCTCCTGTGGTTCAGTAACACTGGAATGCAAACTATCTTAAGCCTAAAGAGTGCCAACCCTTTCAAGATTAACAGGAACAGGCACTTACTGAAAACTCCTAAGTTGCAAACTCTATACTTCCCCATCATTTGTGGTTTGATAGCCCGGCCTCCATCAGTTTAGCCCTGAGCGCCTCACCTATAGGTGTAGAAGTGCACAGATAGACCTGGTTTTCAGACTAGCTGACCTTTGTGGTCTCAAGGACATTCCACTAGGGTTTGTCCAACCATAACGGGACGAAATCATCTTTCAGTTAGACATGTAGGGGAAAGCTCCAAGACCAGTCCTACGCGCAAAATTGAGTTTTATTTGAAAAATGCAAACAGTGGAGCTCTCCTGCCACGCGGTCCCAGCGTCGTCGGCCTGGGGACAACCCGGAGTCCTGTGGAAAGACAGACGGGGGTCAGCGGTGGGTCTAAGGCAGAGGCCAGGCGCGCGCAGCTGCTGGGGGTGTCGGGGCCTGGGTTTCACCCTCCCACACGGGCAGTGGGCAGTGAGCTGAGGCCCCTGGACGTTCTGGGCGCCGAATCTCACCCGCGACTATGGTCAAAGCAGAGGGTGATTTTCAACAAACGCCGGAATCCAAGATATTAGAAAGTATGTGCGACAGTTCCTCTGGTCGAACTTACCCATTAAATATGCAATCAGGCAGCTTCCAAGAAAAACGAAAGAATCCTGTAAGGCAAGCGTGGGTAATTATACCCCTCTGAGCATGCGCAAATCGAGGCCTGAGGCGGTGCACGCAGGACTAATCACAGACGCCAATAGGTGCTTGGGGCGGGGCAAACGAAATCTCGCGGCATTTTGTGGGCTATAAAACTTTCTTGTCGGAGGCGCTCAGTCTTCTTTTTCTGGGAAACACGTGAGTGGTTTTTTGTGTAATGGCGGCCCAGTGTCTGCGGTGGGGGAATCCGCGAACATCGGGCTAGGCTTGGGCCTGCGGGACTGGGCTAGGGTCATTAGGGTGTCCGGGGCGGCTGCAAAGTCTCAACCCCTGTTGACTGTTAATGTGGCTTTTTACAGCAAATGGCGGATGACGCCGGTGCAGCGGGAGGGGCCGGAGGCCCCGGGGGCCCAGGCATGGGAGGCCGCGGCGGCTTCCGCGGAGGCTTTGGCAGTGGCCTTCGAGGTCGCGGGCGCGGCAGAGGCAGGGGCCGGGGCCGAGGCCGCGGGGCTCGCGGCGGTAAGGCCGAGGACAAAGAGGTAGGTGTGTCCCGGGGCGGAGTTGATCCTGGGCTTTGGGCGCCCCAGAAGCGGTCCTGTTGATTGACGTATCTTTACAGTGGATTCCGGTCACCAAGCTGGGCCGTCTGGTCAAAGACATGAAGATCAAATCCCTGGAGGAAATCTACCTTTTTTCCTTACCCATCAAGGTATTGCCTGTCTCCTGGGAGCGTCATTTGGACGGGGATCGGGTGGGTGGGGGGGTTGAGAGTTGTGAGAGATTGTCTATCTTGTTAGGAAGATTGGTTTCACCACCGCGGTTCCCGAGTTGTCTTCATGTTAAAAGTTTTTAATGTTTTTGCCAAAAAACTCATTTGTTGCAGGAGTCCGAGATTATTGACTTTTTCCTGGGCACATCTCTCAAGGATGAAGTTCTGAAGATCATGCCTGTGCAGAAGCAAACTCGTGCTGGCCAGCGGACCAGGTTCAAGGTATTGGGACCATTTTATGTTTTGTCTGGGTTGCTTGAATCAAACGGGGGTGGGTGACTGACTCTCTCCACTCTGCACAGTTACACTAGTTGTGGTGTGACTTTCGTACAGGAGAGAGAAAGAAAAGAGCTCTTCAAAAGGACCTTGAACTGGCCTCATGGTGGCCATTCTTTCTTTGAGGGGCACTACAGATGTTAGATGGTGGTGGGCTCCTATCCTGTGGAGAACCACTAGCTACCTCACAGTCTCTTCACAGGCATTTGTCGCCATTGGGGACTACAATGGTCATGTTGGCCTGGGTGTAAAGTGTTCCAAGGAAGTAGCCACTGCCATTCGTGGGGCCATTATCCTGGCCAAGCTCTCCATTGTCCCTGTCAGGAGAGGCTACTGGGGAAACAAGATCGGCAAGCCCCACACTGTTCCTTGCAAGGTAGATCCTTGGGGGTGAATGATGATGGGTTTGCAGTAGACATGCTTTGGCTCTTACTACAGATTTATTTTATTTCTTTGTGTGTGTGTGTGTGTGTGTGTGTGTGTGTGTGTGGTGCCAGCTCAGCCTACCAGGGGGCGGGGCTGGCTGCCATGTGGTGCTGGGGGATTGAACCCTTGGTCCCTGTGCTTTGCTAAGCTTGTTCTAAGTAGGTGCTTTAGACCACAGCCATCTCACCAGCCCCTTACTACTGATTTTTCAACTTAGGTGACAGGCCGCTGTGGCTCTGTGTTGGTGCGTCTGATCCCTGCCCCCAGAGGCACTGGCATTGTCTCAGCCCCTGTGCCCAAGAAGCTGCTGATGATGGCTGGTATTGATGACTGCTACACCTCTGCTAGGGGCTGCACTGCTACTTTGGGCAACTTTGGTAGGTGGCCCACTCAAGGGATTGACAGTGAGTGGTTTCTCTCAGCTCCGCTGGATCACACAAGCCTAGTGTGTGTGGTGGCGTATTTTATGGGAGAGAGAGAGGAAGGCCCTCCTAATGCACGACAGATCTGCCCTAAAGTGGCCTCTCTGTTCTTAGGAGTGCAACACAGCTTCTGTTTTGGAGGTGGGAAGCTCAAACCAGGCCACCCACCCTCATTTCTTGTTTCTATTACCCAGCTAAGGCCACCTTTGATGCCATCTCCAAGACCTACAGCTATCTGACCCCTGACCTCTGGAAAGAGACTGTGTTCACCAAGTCTCCCTATCAGGTATTGTAGCTGTTGACCTAACATTGGCTTGCCTTGTCACAAGGCTAGGGTTTTTTTGGGAGGGCGGGTTATGAAAGCCTAGGGGTTGTGTGCTACCATGAAATTTCTCTCCTTTTAGGAATTCACTGACCATCTTGTGAAAACCCACACCAGAGTCTCTGTCCAGAGGACTCAAGCTCCAGCAGTAGCTACAACATAGAGTTTTTATGCAAAAATAAAATGAATTACGTCTGTATCTTTTGTATGTGTGTGTGTCATACATTTAGTAATAGCTTAATGTGGACAGAGGTGATATGGTGAATTGGAAAGTGACACAAAACAGGCAAGGCAAACCACTTTATTTCAGCAATGTAACAAGGGTTAGTCAAGGGGTGCTCAGGTTAGGCTTCAGGCTGCAGCCTCCTTGGCAGCCTTTC